AAAAGTACATACGTGGAGTCTTAATTTAGAGAACGAGGATCTAAAAAGCAAAATGACCGGTCGGGTCATTACACATGTAAATCTACTTTTCTCCACAAATAAACGACATGAAGGATCCCTCAACACGATCATAACTCGAGACTGTACAACACATCAAGATAGAAATCAAGCACCCAATAGTCTTTTTCACATCACAAGCAAACTCTTCTCGTTAAACCATCTGAACAATCCCAACAGTCACATCATACTCTTCATATAGCCATCCAACCACTCACCGAGCCATAAATTCCACTCATAGGGACACTACCGGACATATAAGTCCAAAAGCACATGCTCACACAATTGAAACTATCGAGCCTAAGCTGCGGTCTAAACCTGGCCTCAAGTCCTCTAGACTGGCCTATCACCAAAATATTGAAGATGCATCTCTCACCTTATCCATAGAATCCCAAGCCGTCGATGCACCACTAATACCGAACGCTCACATAACATACGAGTGAGTGAAAGAAATTCAAAGGGATATGCTTCAAGCTGAATCAATGTCGCACGATAAGGAAAGAAAGAAGAGAAGTTTATCCTAAATGCCCTATAGCCTCTCGAAGATAGGTATGGACGTCATCATATCGATCCACAAGACTCTACTAGACATTTGCTCATGACTCGTAGAACCTATGAACCTAGAGCTCTGATATCAACTTATCACCACCCAAAATCCAACTAGTCGTGATGACACCTAACCCAACCTGCTAGGTAATCCAATTTATCAATAATACAACTCAAGGAAATCTACTGAGAAAATAAATGATGAAATATCTGAACTTTTATATAGAAAAATCCCAAGGATTGATAGTATAAATCATAAGCTTCTAAGATTTAGAGTTTACAAAACTGGTATAAAATAAATACATCATCTGCTTGAAATGTACATAAACAAATTTTTATAAATCTAAAGATACCATGAATAAGAGGCAGCTAAAACCGGAATGTAGGTACATCTTCAATGCCAGCTCCCCGCATACACATCAACATCAACTCCAAAACCTGCACGTAAGGTGTAGAAGTGTAGTATGAGTACAACCAACCCCATGTACTCAATAAGTAAACTTAACCTTAGGTTGTAAGCAGTGACGAGCTTGGATAACGGTCATAGTCCAACACCAACAGCTTGGAATAACTCGTAACAATATAATGAAACAGTACAAGTAATACTAAAAGATTTGATGCTCAGCTCGTTCATAGTTACGAAAAATAGACATACTTTTCAGGTATAATAGTAAAACCCAATTCTTTCACCGAAGTCACCAAAATGTGAGTATGTCAGAAAAAATGTGATTTTCCCAAAAACTTTCAACAACAGATAAGATGCTCCATTATCAGATAGCATGAGGAAAGTACATCTCTATGCCTACATGTCAATGTGTATGAGAAGTCATAAATGTCAAAATATTGTATAGCATGAGGAAATGCATCTCTATGCCTACATGCCATGTATGCATGTCAAATGTAATGCACCACCGTGATAAACTCACGTGCTCATGCTCTTAGAGTTTTCAACCTCACTCAGCACGCTCAATCACTTAACACCTCCCAATCACTCAACACTCTCAATCACTCAGCACCTCCCAATCACTCAACACTCGTACTCATCGTACATGCGGTCACTGCTGGTATGTCAGACTCTTGAGGGGCGAATCCTGCCCAAGCGCTAATATAAGCCAACATGGCATGCTGCGGCGTGCAGCCCGATCCCATCATGAATCAATAAAACCTGCTGCGGCATGCAACCCGATCCCATATTCATCACTCACAATCAGGCCCTCGGCCTCACTCAGTCTCTCGGGCTCACAAATCTCATGCCACTCAGCTCAAACAATGATAACATGATATGACAACAATTGATAACAGAGAGTGAGATATGATATGCAAATGAATGAATATGACAAAGAGTGTAATTGCAATGTAAGCAAATAATTCAACAGTAGAAATGACCTCGGTGGGTCTCAACAAAGTAAACATATAGTCTAAACATAATTTCTAACATGATTCACAGCTCATATAATCAAACAATACGGAGAACATGGAGGTAACATGATATAACAACAAAACAAGTACGGTTATAGTCTAATAGTTGACTAAAATCATGATTTTCTCGGTGCACGCTCATCACCTAGCATGTGTGTCACCTTAATACATCTCTTATAACACAGTTCCTGAGGTTAAATACCCTCAAATCCAAGTTTATATATGTTACTTACCCCGAACAAGCCAAATCTAACACCGAGCAAGCCGAACAATATTCTATAAATGCCATCCCGCGTGCATCAACCTTCGAACGACTTGAAACTAGCTAAAAGCAACTCAAATATATCAAATAATGCCTAAGGAAATAAACCCAATCGATAAAGGTCGAATCTTTAATCAAAAGCCCAAAGTCAATCAAAAAGTCAAACCTAGGCCCGCACCTCGGAACCCGACAAACTGACAAAATCCGACAACCCATTCAATTATGAGTCCAACCATATAAATTTTACTCAAATCCGACTCCGAATCGATGTTCAAAACTCAAAAATTCGCTTTATGAAAATTTAGACAAAAATCCCCAATTTCTCTTTTGAAATCATCAACCAAGTACGAAAAATAAAGATGGAATTACGGAATAAAATCAATACCGAGTAGACAATACTTACCCCATTTCATGTGGTTAAAATCGCCTCAATCCGAGCTCTAGAGCCCAAAATATGGTAAAATAAGCTCAAAATTCCGAAATTTGATATTTTAATGCACTTCCAGGGGTCCCTCTTCATGATCGCTGTCCCTAACATCGCGATCGTGATTCAAAAAAAAATTTAGCTCAATTTTTACGCTTCGCGATCGTGACTATTCCCCCGCGATCGCGATTAACAAACTCCAACAAGCTTGCCCAACTCTTCCAGACAGTCTCAAGTCTAATAGCTATAACCTTTTGTACAAAACTCTAAATGATAAGCGGTTTGATTTTCTAAAAACTAAACGCCAAGCACTACAATTTTTATTTTTGGATCATCTCTAAATTCCTTATAGATTGCAAGATATAAGCTTCCAAAGTTGGCTCAGTGACAACAAAATTTCTTCTTCGCGAACGCGAAGATCTCTCCGCGAACGCGATTCACAGGCCCTTTTTTCCCATTTTGCTTTTCGCGAACGCGACCCAAAGTCCATGATCGCGATGCACGCTGTTGTAGCCAAAAACTAGCAACTAAAATGGCTTAAAAATGGTCCGAAAAAACCCCGAAACTCACCCGAGTCCTTTAGGACCCCGTCCGAATATACCAACAAGTCTCAAAATATATTACGGACCTACTCGATACCTCAAATCACACATATTAACATCAAAATCACGAGTCGCGCCTCAAATCGAACTTAATGAACTTTGAATCTTTCGACTTCCAAAACTTGTGCCGAACTTTATCAAATTAACTCGGAATGAACTCAAATTTTGCACACAAGTCCCAAATGACATAACGAAGCTATTCCAATTTCCAGAACCACAATCCAAACCCGATATCATCAAAGTCAACTCCCAGTAAAATTTATAAATATTTCAAACCTTTAAATTGCCAACTTTCGCCAAATAGTGCCGAAACCTTCTAGGAATATCCAAATGCAATCAATTCCAATTAACCTGAAAACCAAAACCGACGACTCACACAAGTCATAATGCATCATATGAAGCTACTCAAGACTTCAAACAGCTGAATGGAATGCAAATGCTCAAAACGACCGGTCGGGTCGTTACAGTTCTAAATTAACAATTTATACATATTCAATAAATCTTTTAAGACAAATACTAGGATTCGAACCAAAGTTACTGGATTCGGCCGAACCCGCTCTCGATACTCTAGCTCTTCCCCTGATCACACTAACACATTATGTTAAGAATGTCTTTAGGCTGACCTAGCCCAATCATATGCACACCCCTTCATCTAGAAATTGTTAGCTAGGTTAATTAAAGGCCTATTGAGTTTTATATATCTAATTAACTAGCAAATATTTGAGACTAGCTAATCTATATGTACTGAACTCAGATTTAAAAAAAAACTCAGATAAAGACTGCTATTACCCAAATTCTATTCACAGTTCTACTATTTAGGAAGACATTCCATATGGGGTTTGGTCAATTGATTTTGGTACTCTTCGTTACTATTTTTATCTGGTTTCATGATGATTGATGTTTACTTACAATGACTCGCGAACTATCAAAGGAAACAAAGAGGAGAAAAAAGAAGAGAGCTTATATCATACTCAACTTCATGCTTTGATTGCCTTTTTTCAATGTGGTCCTTTTCAACAACATTTTACGTGTGCATATTTGTGTTTGCACACGTAAAATCACTACTGCCTTCTACTTTTGTTTCACAGTTCATCATCATTATCATCCACTCAGTTCATTAATTCCACTACGTAAGCTACGATATTGCTTATCCAAATAGAACTGTTTTTTTTAGTATTTTAAAGATAATTAAACGACAAAAACACAGTTGTTTGTAAGCGAAGTTACTTCAAAGTGAAAACATATCCACTTCCTGCAAAAACAATTCAATCGGTACTTGTCTCTCTTGGATTACCAGCCGCCTATGAACTCGCAAGAAACGTTATCCACTCCCACTTTTCATTTCTAATCAACACGTACCCTAAACCCCTACCACNGATTAAACAGAGGCGGATCCAATATAATAGTTTCGGTTCATTCAAATCCAATATTTTTGAGGCAGATAATTTTATGTGTAAAGAACCGCTAAAATTAATAAATAGTAAATATGAACTTATAACTTTATAACATAATAAATTCAATATTAAAACATAATAGATTCAATATTAAGAACCTAGGCCCGTAAGTTTAAAGTGAACCCGTTGCGTCTATCTTAAATATACTACAAGCGAGGAATAGAAGTAGAGTGTAGGGCCATTTTACTAAAGTATATATTTTATTTTTCTATAAAAAGAAAACAGCAACATTATATTCGTCAACTCTTAATCATTCTTCTTCTTCTTCTTTATCAACTCCTAAATTAAACTAACCCTAAAGGCTAGCGAGAAGAAGCTTTAAATTTCCGCTGGTAAGAATTCGGTTTCAGAAAATATTTGTTAGTGACAATGGAGGATGAAAGAGTTGATCTTCCTCCGGGTTTTAGCTTTGATCCAACGGATGAAGAGCTTTTTATGTATTATCTCAAAAGTAAAGTTGCAGGCTTACCGTTCTACCCCAGCATCAATATTCCTCATCTTGATTTTTCTTCTTCTCATCCTTCAGAACTCAACGGTATATTTCTCCATCATAATTTACTTTACTTTTATTTGAATGGAAGCCTAAGCGTGACTGGTAAAGTTATTATCATGTGACCAGGAAGTCACGTGTTCAAGCTATGAAAACAGCCTCTTACAAAAATGCAGGATAAGGCTGCGTACAATAGACCCTTGTGGTCCGGCCCTTCCCCGGATCTCACGCATAGCGGAAGCTTAGTGCACCGGACGACCCTTTTAATTTACTTTGCTTCTTTATATCTAGCTTACTTTTAATTAGACTCGTCAACCATGAAGAAAAGATCATTTTTGGAGCTTGAGATTACCTATTTTTAATTGATTTTATTGTTTTACTATCCTAAAAAAAAAATTACATTCTTGGCTATATTGGAAAAATAAGATTGATCTTTCTTTTTTATCGTTTCAAAGAGTGAAGCGTATTTATAGGAGGTCCTTTAAAATCAATTTTCGAACTTGAGAACCTATTTTTGATTGATTTATTGCGTCAGTATATCCTATAAATTATTAAAATTTTGTCTAAATTCAATGAATAAGATCAACCTTTGATTTTTCTCGTTTGTTTTCCTCAAGAAATGAAACGTATTTATAGAAGTTCTATTAACAAACTTTCACCAACACTTTTTCATTGGAACATTTTCTGTTCGTGCTATTTTTTTGTATAATTTATAGAGTTCCAAGTTCTATTTTGATTAGATAAAACTTGTACAAGTCCAAAATCATTATAGAAATCATTAAATTGACCCTTGAAAAATCGAATCACCCCACTTTCCTAATGGATCAAATTACAATGGAGTGTTTATATTAAAGTATAATCAAGTCTTTTTTTCCTCTCATATCCTTGTGAATTAATAATTTCTTTTATTTTACCTATTTTGCATACGTTGGGATGATTAGAGAAGGCTTTGTGGAGCAAAAATCAGTTGTATTTCTTCAGTCAAGTGAAGGAAAATCGAACTACAAGAAAAGGATATTGGAAGGAAGTACATATGGATGAGCCAATTTTACTCCCAGATTATGGAGAAAAAATAGTAGGAATAAAAAAGTATTTTGTTTACTATAATATTCCTGAAGTACAAACTAACTGGATTATGGAAGAATTCCACCTCTCTATCAGTAATTCCTTCAAGAAGCCTACCAAGAAAAGAGAAAATGAAATGGTAAGTAAATACTCCTATCCTATCTGATAGGATTTAATTTAATATTTTAAATTTTATAAATTAAACTTTAAGTTACATATATAATGTCAGTGTAAAATTTTTTTACATTATCAGTATTGTAGTCTTATTGGTTTTAATATGTCACTAATCGGATTTTTAAGGTTAAGCCCCAAGTTAATTAACTCTCACATAATCTAATATTAGCTCCTACATAATCTGATAGCATAAAAATTCATTTACACCGTCAATAGTATATATGAACCCTATAATGAATTGAAGTTTATATCAAATATTGAATATTAAGAAATTACTTAAGTTTTCAAAATATTTAATTGTAGAATTTAAAATTTCCCTTAACTCAATGGTGAGTTTAACCAGTCTATAATATTAATTAACCTCTAAATCGATGTAAAAAGATTTATAAATGGAAAATATGGAATTTTTTATGTGTATAGCATGTTATATAACCACCTCTCGTGGAATTCATGAATTTTGACCTTTCAAAGTCGAATTACACGAGCAAAGGAGTACTTCACGCCCCAGCTGCTAACTTAGCTTTCGAGTCAAAGGGAAAAAAATAAGAAAAATGATACTGTCTAACTGCTGCCCATTCTCAAAATAATAGCCCAAATATATATATATATATATATATATATATATATATATATATATATATATTTCTGTATGTTATACACAAAAAATATAGTATAAACTTTACCATATTTAAATAGTTTCGGCCGTGGGTTTAAATTGATCTTTGCCCCAAAAATGTTGTATTTTGCATCTCAGTTTTTTTTTCAAATTTATATATTTTTTTCTTTTCATTTTCAGGAATGGGTTTTATGTAGAGTACATGAGTCGAACAACCAATCTCAAGGGATAAATTGCCTCTATAGAAATTGTGATGATGAAGTAGAGCTCTCAGCTTTGGATGAAGTCTTTTTATCTATGGATGATGAAGAAGAAGAGGAGATAAGTTTTCCATAAGAGTTAATTGATGTAATTATAGGTCTTAAGTAATGTTATAGCATATATTGTTTTTCATATAATTATACTTTAGTACATATATTTGTATATACAATACATTGATGTAATAGTGTATGTAGCATATGGTCTCTCATAATTGTACGTTGCATACGTGAATACAGAATACATCAACTCCTACTTATGAGTTATGGCAATTATTTAATTTACTATTTCCCAAAAGAAAATGTTTTATAAACAAACAGCTCTGTCTATCTCGACAAATTCTCTTTTCCATTTTCATTCTGGCACTCAAATGTGCATAAGACAATAGTATAAAGGGATTTTGGCACAGTTGTAACAACGTACTCATATAATTAGCACAAAAAAAAACTCTAGTTATAGATATTAGCACTAGATAGCAATAAATGTATATCATAATAATAAAGTGTATATTAAAATTATCTTTTTCTTTTTTTGTATATCTAAACTATGGAATTATAAATATATGTTGCCTCTATATCAACACATATCACAACAATAATAATTTTATTGTTTGTATATCACAGTGTATAACACATCAAATAATGTGTATACCAAAATGTGTATCACAAGTTTATTTCTCTTCTTTGTGTATATAAAAAAAAATTATTTTTCTTCTTTGTATATTAAGATTTTATTTGCTTCTATGTATATTATAATATATATATATATATCAAAAATTTATTTACTTTCACAATTATATTGATTATTTTTATATTTTAAAACTTATTCTAAATTTGTTATACATTGATATATACAGTGAGATTAAAAAAAAAAAAGAATCAGGAGAGGGATGTAAAGAGATTTTGGGAAATTTTAGTATGCTTTTGAAAGGAAATGGAACCTAATTTCTAGGAAGATGGATGCAACCGTTAGAAGAGAGAGAGAGAGATTCTAAATAATTTTTTTTTATTTTTAAGAAAAATAATTTTGGTTATTGGATGTCAATTGTTTGGGCTTCTGTTGCCAAACCTAATGTAAAGCCAAAAAATTACCAATTCTCTTTATGTGTTGTAATACCACGCCATTTCCTAGTATAAAACTGATTTGTTTTCTTACTTCATCTTTTACAAAACGATTCTATTGAAAGGGAAAATGAGATAATTGTAAATCATTGGGCCAACAAGTACTTGATCTGAAAGGTATTTTATGTTGGACGGATATTTTTAGGATCACCATTTAAATTTTGATATGATGAACAAAATATTAGGTTTTTTAGTCTCCCACCAGAACTTTCTTCTTCATACTACTTCTCCATCTTCTTCTTCTTTCAATAAATTATGAGCATACAACTAAAATTAAAAACTAACAAAATATGTACTTTAAAGAATTGAAGATTTACTACTTATTTTTAGTTGTAATTAAGTGAGTAATATTCCATTGAGCTTACATTGTCTATCCTTGAATGGGTTTGCTTGAAGAAAAAAAATAAAAATACCGTTGAGTTTTGTTGAGCTTAAAAAGCTTATTAAAGAAGGCAATATGGTTATATTAATTTTTGAAGGTTTATGTTGAATCTAAATGTTGAAAATGTTGGGATTGGCATTAGAAAGTTGTATATGAAATTTGGAGTCATTTGGATCGGAGATAATTTGGATAGTTTTGAAACAAAACCTTATTGGTGAATTTCTATCTAGTATGTTATGGTGATCATTGGAATTTTGGCCGGATTACGATAACCATGATTTTCAGCTACAAATGATGATTCGTCAGAATTTGTGGCAAAATTCTGATGACACATCATGTTATGGTGATCATTAGGATTTGGCCAGAAATCCTGCTGATCACCATAACTTGCTGTTAAGGAAGATATGTTGGGTTTTTATCTAATTAGATAAGAGGTGTGAATTAAAAATGGAGGGAAAAAATTAGGAGGGAAAAGATTTGGAGGGAAATGAAAAGTTTGAAGTTATTTTCTTTACTAATGCACTTTGTCCCTCATCGAAAAATGGAAAGAAAATTTTTGTGTTTATATAGAGAAACCCATTTTCTAACTTTTAAAGAGTTAAGAAGAAGTGGTGTCTCGTGTCGTCGTCGCTCGGCTTCAGCTTTGGTCAATTGATTGATTGATAATTTTTTGGACCAAATTTATTTTTCGTTTTCCGTGATATAATTTCTTTTCTAATACTTTTTTGCGGAATTTAAATTTAAAATTCGCGGTTCTCAAATGGCCGTTTTGAGTTTAAAATTTGTGACCAGACTTCTGCTGGTATCTCATATGAACAGGTACTTTCACACCTATTCAACCTAGGCCGTTTGGCTATAAATTCAGAGATTTTGCCTATTCTTTGAAGTACTAGGGGTTCCTATATTCTTGATTCCCCATGTGTTCTAGTATTATATCGTCTATTCATAAGTCTCAGGAAATACGTAAGTTGATAAAGTTTATTTCATGATATTAATCGAAGGCATAATGATTTTATGACATTCCGAGAGATCTTATTGACTTACTTCTCATGCATTGCATTCATTTATACATGTACATTGACCCATGAACAGATGACGTTATATACGCGTATATTATATGTATATGGGGTAATGGGGAAAGGTTATGGCATTATATATACATCACCACCTGATCAGCTGGTATACGTTGATGATTTCACCCATAGAGGCCGAGATGATATGACGGGATGCCCTCAGAGGCTTGATGTGCATCTCGCGGACCTGTTCTGCGGTCGTATAATGCACCGCAGACCTTTTCTGCGGTCACATAATGCTCCACAGAACTTCCCTCCTGAAATCTCCATGATTATTATACGATGTATTGTGCGCTCCACAAAACGATTATGCGGCCGCATAATGGACCGCATAAAGGTCCTAAAATTTACTCAAGTTTCTGCTTCACTCTACGACGCTTATGCAGCTCGCGAAACGGACCGCAGAATCTCCTTCTTCTGCCAAAACTTTTCATCAAACAACTTAGTGCATTCTTCAACCCAAAAAGTCTGGACCGCGACGAGCTCGCCACAAAGAATCTCTACAATCATGAACACATAAGTCTACCTCGGCACCATAAAATCCCGAGTTTTCAGAAAAATTTTATGGGGCCTTATACTCAACCGCCTAAGTGGGTCCCATAGAGAGGTGCTTGTGCAGTCTTGCGAAAATACAAATATCTCTCTACTCCGATGTCGTATTGACAAAAGGTTTAGTGCGTTGGAAAAAAGACTCGTAGATCTTCAATATAAAGGGTGGATCACCCCGTAATTCCAAGTATATTGAGAGAAAATATTTGTAACATTAGACCTAAGGTGTAGATAAAATTATGAAGATAGGTTGCGACAACTTTTGTCGACTTTTGTTTCATAACTCGCTTGACTTCAAGACTTAGGATATGGATATTATATGATTCAAATACCTTAAAACACGACCTCCTTATAATTTTAAGCGGACCGCACTTCTCACAGATCTCTGATAAGTTCTTCTGCACAATCTGCGGCCGCAGATGATGTTCTGCGGTCCGCACTTTAAGCTTTTGTGTCTTTTTTGTCCTTGAGTTCAGATCACTCCTTGAGTTGGATTTCATCTTGGAGACTCATTTTCCAATATTCCTGCAATTAAGCATATTTCATCAGTTTTTGGGAACACGATTAAATGCTTTTGGACTAAAACGAAAGCTAAAAGGCGCTAATAAGTAGTCAAAATCCCCACTAATCAATTCCCCCAAACTTAAGGTTTTGCTTGTCCTCAAGCACCGAAATCTGCATACTCTCCCCCCTCTCTTCTGCATTTTTGAATTATTTTCAACAAGCATAAGTATCAGTGCGGTTTACTGTCGTTTGTTGAGTTCTGTCACGACCCAAACTGTAGGGCCGTGACGGGAACCCGATGCCTAACTCAATCTAGTACCAACGTAACGTATCCTTCTTATCATACTATCATGGGTAAATGAACCGGAAAGGCCGTCATGAGATAACTCGAATTAAACATAAGAGAATACTTAACATGGGATGACCCAACATGATATAGAAGCTTATGCATGCGACATACAGGCCTATAAGGTCGACATAATCCTTTGTATACTCAAATCATAGGCCGACAAGGCCATACAAGTATCTATATATATGACATTTGTCAACAAGCCTATAAGAGTACATAAATGTCATAAAGGTCGGGATAGAGTCCCGACATACTAATCAATACATGTCTAAATCATACTGACCAAATAGGCAACTCCTGAGCAAATGGAGTGCACAAACACCTTCCGCTGAGCTGATAGCCTACTAGGAGAACTCTTAACCTATCTATCGGGACCTGCGGGCATGAAACACAGCATCCCCAAGCAAGAGGGACGTCAATACAAATAAAGTACCGAGTATGTAAGGCATGGAAATAGTATATAAAAGACATGAAAGAAACATGGAATAAAGAACTCAACCTGTAATTCTGAATAGCTCTGTGAATCATGAAAATTTTATAATGTCATGCATGTGCGTATAAATGCCATATAATGCATAGGTATATGCGTACATAACGTCATCAAGCCTCTAAGGGCATCCCATCATATCATCTCAGTCACTGTGGGAGAAATCATCAACGTATACCAGCTGATCAGGTAGTGGTGCGTATATAATACCATAACCTTTCCCCATATCCCATATACATATAATATACGTGTATATAACGTCATCTGGTCATGGGTCAATGTACATGTATAAATAAATGCAATGCATAATGAAGTAAGTCAATAAGATCTCTCAGATAAACCTTTATCAACTAGTATTTTTCTGTGACCCATGAACAGAACATATAATAATAAGACACATGGGTAATCAATAACATAGGCACCCCCAGTACTTCTATGAATAGAGGCATTTATGAAAGTTGCGCATTTGCTTGCTTCGTTTGTATCATATGGATCATGCCAAAAGGAAAGAAGGGATAGCCTTACATACCTTTGCAATCTTCTCTCCAATCGTCAACCAAGCTCAATATGATCTTCTTATGTCTACAATGAGTAACCCGACTTTGTCGTCATCATATAAGCATTGTAACTCTCATATTTCAAAACCAATATTCTACAAGAAAATGGACAGCACCTCCCCTATTTTTACTACATCCCATAAGTCACTAAAAGTCACCAAACAGCCCAAACAACAACAATATAATTCACAATAAGCTCTTCGATTACTTCAACAACCATTTTGAGCGGCAAGCTCGATTTACA